GAGAGAGAGAGAGAGAGAGAGAAACAGACAGAGGGAATGCATCCAAACTGAGAAGAAGGTGGTCCAGCTTGATCAGGGTGAGGGTCATCTAGGGTGAGGACGTCCTGACGGCATGAACATATACAGCAAAACCCCTAAGCATCCCACAGAAACTGTTTGAATAAACAAATCCTTCAAAGTTGCACAGTCTCAGTGAACATAAAGTCTGTCGTGTTTCTAAACTCTGCAATAAACTATCCAAAAAAGGAAATTAAAAAAACAACTTCATCAACATGGTGAGTCTTTCGTGTTCATTATGGAATTAAGCCTCATAAATCATTCTGTGAAGGTATTGTTATACTTATGGAGAAGATGGTAGAAAAGATCATAGAGAATTGATAGGCTGATGAGTGGCAGCTGGTTGGCATAAGTGGTAAGCTAGCAGTTACTTTTAATGGTGACTCATGTTTTTCTTCCTCTGTCTTAAAATGACAGAGCTAGAAGTAAGCTAAACTATTCTATCCAAAGGACACAAAATCATTATACCGGAGACATTTTACAGGATTGGAGTGGGGAATGGGGTCAAAAATGGGACGGCGGGGGTGGGAGGGCCTGCATGGGACTATGTTGATGACATCCGGATGAATTGGTGATGGCAAGTCCATGGGGATTGCAGCTGAGATGGAAAAAGGCACAAAGTGATGCAAAAATAAACTATTAAAATGATCTATTCTAAAAAAGGAAAAAAAACCCAACTTCATCTACAGTAATATCAAAAATCCTCTGGGCTTGAGAAAATTTGTTCCCACATTCCATTTCTTCTGCCATGATAAGTAAGAGACGACGGTGAGGGAGGGTCCACAGAAATATAGTGGGGCGTTCAGGCACAGACTTGGGGCTAGTTTGTGTCTATAGGCGCAAGCTGGAAAGCAAGGATTTCCAACTTTTTTTTCTGGAAGTTAACAGACTCCACCCCAGAGATGGTGCTAACGGTCTAGGGAGCCACTTACCAGAGACCATGATAACCTTGACTGTGCTCTTTTGGAGACCAGTGAAAGTGTTGTGGACCAGGCAGGTGTAGACTCCACTGTCACTCACAGAGATGTTGGGGATAAAAAGCCGCTGCTGAGTGAATTCCTGGGACTCCCCATTGATTAGCCAAGAATACTGTGGGGGTGGGTTAGAGTATGCATGGCAGGTAAGGCTGAGTATTTTCCCTGGATGGTAGTAAGATTGTAGGGGGAGAATTATGGGGGTGTCCGGGCCATCTGGAGCAAACAGAACAAAGCCACATGTGATTTATCAAAGGGAGGGAGCCCCTGGGCTTACAAGGGCCTCAGTGTCCCTCTGAGCTGGAGTCACCTTGTTTTAAATAGTTCTACCACCACCCCTGAGGCTGGCTCCTGAGTTGGAGACACTCCCCTGCTCCCTCATCAGGTTGTGGACCCTGAATCCCCCTGCCCAGGAGCAGCCCCCCCCATCTTGCCTTAGGGCTGGACCTTAGCCTGGGACAGGAAGTCATGACCAGCCCGGGTACCCAGGGTGAGGGTCGTGCACTCAGACCTGAGAGGGACGATGGGATCTGGGCTCTGGCTGTGTGGGTGGGGGCAGCCCGGACGGCATTGGGACAGAAGTTACTCACAGAGAACATTTAGTGTGAATGGGTCGCTGCGGCGGGTGCTCGCTGGGTTCTGGGTCTCACACACATAGGGCCCTGTGTCAGCCCTGGTGACCCGGAGTAGCACGAGGGTCCTGTTGTCCATGGACAGCTTCAGTCTGTTGCTGTCCGGGAGGCTCTGGCTGTTGATGGACCACAGGTAGGTCGTGTTCTGAATCTCAGGTTCACAGGTTAACACCACGTGGTCCTGGTGCTCCACAGGGTCGGGGTTACTGCTTATGATGTAGGGTTTGGGTAACCACTCTGTGTGGGCAACAGAGGAAACTCTGTCTTGTGGGGCAGCTTGGATTCCAAAGGCATCTTCCATCAGAGCTGGCATCTCTCACCACTCAGTCAACCCGAGTCCTTAAAGCACAAGGCAGGTGTGCATCTCCAAACAGGTGCAGGAGGGCGTGAGGCCACCTGCTCCATGTCTGGGGGAAGACAGACTTTCTTAGTGTTTGCTATGCACAGTGTTGGGTGGAGGAAAGAACCAGAACAAGACTGAGACGCCAGCGTCTCTACCAGTTCTGACCAGCCTGCTCAGAGTCTGGGGGTTGACACTGGGGGAGACCAGGGGCAATCCCAGTCAGCACATTACTCAAGACACAGGGCGTGGGCAGATCTGTCCAGGGACCAAGACTGGGATGAGACAGTGACCCCAAAGGGCAGATCATGGTCAAGATTAGACATGAGCCGGATAGAGAGAGGAAGCAGGAGCCGTTGGCTTCGGCAGCAGAACTGTGGAATCTGCTCTTGGCCTGGGGAGTCTCTTCTCCCTTTGCTGAGGGAGTAAGACTTGATTTTCCCCCCTAAATATATATCAATAATTTCAAACATAGAACTATTACAAAGGGGAAGGGTGTAGTTTTGTTGAAAACAAAAACAAATTGGCTGCCTGGACCATTTGTGCTTGGCAGCTATGGAGAAGTTAAAATTTCAGAAAATATAAGAAAGTTATTACTCAAGCCTCAAAGGTCTAGACCAGTTTCTGGAGGCTTCTCTGTAGAGAGCACCCAAGCGCCTGGAGCAAGGTCTGCAGCCCCCCCAGGACCACTCGATGGTCAGAAGATGATGACTTGGGTGGGAAACAGCAACTCCCGGGTGGAGGAGACATGGCGTGGGGACAGGTGGTGAGAGGACAGAATTTGGGTCCTGACCCTGGAGACAGGGAGCTTCTGGGGCTCAGCCTGCCAGAGCCCCGCACATCTTCAGGCCACACTGAGATGTGGAGGGTCATTCATCTGCTCACTCGTGCATCACCATTCATTCCTCCCTCCTGTATCAAAAAACAACTGAGGTTGTTCCAGGGGGTCCTGTGCAGGCGCAGGTAGAGTGGGGGGTGAGAAGGCAAAGGCCTTTCTGTTTTACACCAGTGGGAGTGACACTCATATCAGGAAGCAAAGTGATTTCAAGGGCCGTGTAGGGAGGTGTGGATGGGCCCTAAGTGGGCCTGGACTTTCCTGGAACTGACTGTTGACGCAAATGGTTTGAACTCTCCACTTAACTTTCATTTCGCAGACAGAACCTTTGCCTTGGAGCTGAGGATGCCTGAGAAGAAAGGATGGGAACCAAAGGCTTTCTCATGGTCTTCGAGTGTCTAACAAGGCCCCTTCAGGAGTGGCTGGGCTGTGTACAGGCAGAACTCTGGGACTGGTCACTCATGGAATGTGGGACCCACATCCGGTGACCAAATCTCCCTGTGCTTCAGTTTCCCCACCTAAAACTAGGTAAATGGTAAATGAACTCAGGCTTGTTATACTGCCTTGAACGAATCTTCAGTTGTTCATCATTAATTAACCCAAAGTTTACATGGAAGGGCTGCCCAAGTGAAGGACGTCTGTTTTTCTTTGTCTCTGGGGAGATGATCCCTGGGCTGTTCCCTGCTGGAGGAGAAGCTGCCAAGAGCTTCTTCCCTCCCCTGTTCCTCCCTAGGGACCTGACCTTTTTTTTTTTTTGGAGTCTTTTCTGCCCCTAGGACAGTTAGTTGATGGCCTGGGAAACTTGTTTTCTGTGCTCTCCATGCTGAGCCTCAGAATTGTGCTCCCACATGGTTCTGGGGGCTGAGCCCTTCCAGGTGATGAGTTTAGGGACCTCGGGACTCACAAGAGCCAGATTATTACTGCTCCTACTCAGCCCTTGCCAGGAGGTCAAAACCCGAACCTGACACAGGCCCCCAGGGCCACTAGAGCCAGAACCCCAGGGACAGCAACCTGGGTGCAGCAGCCCAGGGCTGAGCTTTTCTGTGAGGATCCCTAGGGCCTCAAAGTCAGTGCCTGATCAAGGCCTGCAGGGTCTCCCTCAGGGTCCTGTTTGCAAGCACAGACCCAGGAGGTTGGATGAGGCTGGTCTCTTTTGTCTGGATTGAGAAAATGATTCCCTTCAGATGGTCCTTCCCTTGGCAGAGAATGTGGCAGAATCTGGCAACTGGAAAAGGAATTCTGAGCTTACAGATTTTGTCTCCACCATATGTCCTGTTCTAAATTCTCAGACTCCACGTAGGTAGAGGGAGATGGAGGCCCCTTCAGGCTTGTCCATCCTGTGTGTGTGAAACAGATTCGCCCACCAGCTTCCAGAGCTCAGAGAGGCATCACTCACGGTGAATGGAGAGGTGCCTCGTTACTCTTTCTGTTAGGTTGCTCTTCGTGACTTTGAGGGTGTAGGATCCTGTGTGTGCTGGGGTGATGTTCTGGATCCACAGGGACCCATTGGGGTAGATGATCTCTTGACCGCTGTGTGCAAGGCCCTTGGTGATTACGTTAGTGGCTATTATGTAAGAGGCAACTAGTTCATTGGCCCCCCCAGACTCCCCCTTGTACCAGAAATAGCCATCAACGTTCCCTGGTAGATTGTGGGCGAGTAGGAAAACGTCCATACCTTCTGCAGCACTCGGTGGCACAAACTCAATAGTGAGCTGGGTGGAGGTGGGCAGAGTCCAGAAGATCAAGACCAAGACTAGGAGGGAAGTGAGAGAAATTTATCACTTTGGATTCTTATTGTATTATTTTAATTTTGGGAGCAATGTTTACAACACAGTATGTAACTTGAGGGTGTAGGTTCATACCACTTCAGGTGTTAGTTCTAATACTAACGCACCTGCTATTGTCCACAATATTCCACTGGGTCCACTGCCTTTCATCCTCTGCTTCCCACTCCAGTAGCTGCACCCCTATAGTCAGATTCCTTGGGTTTGTTTTAATTTAGTTTTCTGTTCCTGTGTCTTCTTTCTCTGTATCCCATCTGGTATTTTTCTTTCTCCTTCTGACTCATTTTGCTTAACATTTGTTCTTATGTTGGGAGCCAGGGATGTGTGCTCTTGGGGAATAGTCCTGAGCCACGTGCCCTCGCCAGACAACCTAAGGCGACAACAGTCGGTTGGTCACAGGCACAGAAAGGGGCGATCTTCCCACTGTGACCTTCAAGCTAGAACATTGCTTCAACATCCATTTATGAGGAAAAATAAAAACTTTTAAAAACATGGGGGGAGACACTACTAGTCAAAACACTGCTTTATTTACAATAGGAAAGACATGGAATCAACCCAAATGTCCAAAAGTAAACCCAAATGCCCAAAAGTAGATGACTGGATTAAAAAGATGTGGTACATATACACAATGGAACATTACTCAATGATCAAAAAAGATAAACTCATGCCTTTTGCAGCAACATGGATGGAGCTGGAAGGGATCATGCTTTGTGAAATAAGCCACAAAGAAAAAGAAAAATTCCAGATGGTTTCACTCATAGCAGGAGCATAAAGGACCAGGGGGAAAATAATAATAATAATGATGATGAACAACTATATACCAGAGACATTTTACGGGGGTGGAGTGGGGAATGCGGTCAAAAATGGGGTGAGGGGATGTCCATGGGACTATGGTGATGGCACATGGGTGAATTACATGGGATTACAACTGAGATGGAAAAAGGCACCACATGATGTAAAAATAAACTATTACAATAAAAAAAACATGGGGAGAGAGAGAACATATCTCAACATAATAAAGGCCAAATATAACAAACCCACAGCTAACAACATATGCAATGGTGAAAAACTGAACCCTAAGTCAGGCACAAGACAAGGTGTCCACTTCACTACTATGAGACACAGTGTTGGAAGTCAATCAAGTCAATTTGAATCTCTATATTGGAACAGAAAGACCAGGCGCTGGAGATTGAACAGGTCTTTTGAGCCCTCGCACTTCAGTGTGTGTGGAGGGTGGGGGTATGTGTGTCTCCTATTGGCCCAGGGTTAGCACCATGACAACTCTTGCTTTAGCCCCTATAAACTTGTTATCTCCTTTGTTTTGAATACCCCTTCCCAGGTGTGTGTCCTCCACACTCCTCTCTGCACTCAGGGTGTCCCTGGGAGATGCCTCCCGGACCCCTGCTGTGAAGACCCTCCGTCCTCACGGTGTGACCTTTCCCTGCTCGGTGCCCTTCAGGGCACCTGTCAGCACCTTCGAGATCTTTGTGGTCTGTCTCTCCTCCTGGAACACAAGCTCTGTGAGGGCAGGGACTTGTCTGATTATGTTGTCCCCCTACTGGCGGGACAGGCTGCCAGGCCCTGAGGGTGAGTGAGTGAGTGTCCCCAGAGCCTCCATGACCTGGTTTATTTGCCAATTTCTGAGCATGGAGGTAGAAAATGTTTGTGACCTTGATTAGGTTTAGGTTTCACTTCACATAAATAGTTATTTTATCATTAGTCTTCAAATATTATCAAGTGATGAATGACCTGGGAAGTTAATAGAAATTAATGGTGATTTTTCTCTTTCTCTCACCACTTCCAGATAATGTGAATTTCCTCTTGCTGAGCTCCTGGATCCCCCATGCCGTCTGCTCCCCTGTCCTCTCTCCTCAGGCCCAAATAAAAGCCCTCTGTCCCCTTTCAGAGCCCTGTCCTCTGAGAAGAACCAGCCAGTCTCTTTTGGCCCTCTCACCTGCCAGCAGCAGCCCCGTCCAGGGGGCCCGCCCTCTGTGTCCATGGGCTGAGGGGGTCTCCATGGCATCTGCTGCCTGCTCTGGGCTCCTCTGAGAGAGGGGCTGGGCTCCAGAAGGTTCCAGGCACAGCTGAGTGTTCGGGGCTGAGGTGCTTCCTGCTCAGTGCCAAGCCTCTTTCTGGGGCAGGAGGGTTTTGCTGGGTCACATGGTTTAGGGCGGGTTCTCTTCCCAGGACCCTCCTTCCTCCTAACCTCTCTGGCCCTCTTCTTCCTCTTCCCTTTTTTATTCAGGTCACTGAGAACTGCTGAGATTCTGCCTTCTTAGGTTGTGATTTACCACCCCCCACACACAAATATTGTTTGGGTAAACACAAATCTGGGGCTTGGTACCCAGGGTTTCCCCACAGCTCTGGGCTGGGGAGCATAGTCCTCTTTCTAGCTTTTCCTGTCAGAGCAGGGGAGTGGGGGCACAGCAGGACTCTTGTCACAGTTTCGTCCCACCTGTGCACAATCACCTGTGGAACTTTATAAAGATCATGAATGCCCAGGTGATGCCAGCTGCTCCAGCAGCTGCCCAAGGAAGGAGGGTGCCCAGAGAGGTGACCCCATGATGATAGGTGGGAGCCTCTCTCCCCGTCCTGTGCACAGGGAGGGGCTACAGATCTTGGGAAACACACAGCTCCTGACCTGGTAGGTGAGGGGGGACCCGAGAGTCTGAGGCTCCCTATGTCCCAGGTGATGCTGGTCATCCTAGCCCGCGGAGCTCACTTTCCATAGAGAGACTGAGGGGACCCCTGTGCCTCAGAGGGACCTCCCACCCCATGTGCTTGTGCTGTGTCCTGATCTGGGATCTGTCAGCACCCCACAGAGACCAGAAATCCCAAAACCCAGGGGATGACTTCTGTTTGTGACACAGGAACCCGGCCAGGTACAAGGCCTCCCCAGTGTCTCAAAGCTCTGGGAAGGTTGGATTCTCTCCAGGCAGGAGGGTCACAGAGAATCTCTGGGGTGAGAATGGGACAGCTGAGTGAGGACTGGGGAGGAGCCCCTCTGGTGCCAGCGTCACCCAACTGGTCTCTGATGCCAGAGATGGAGACCTGGGACCAGGTATCTCAGATGCTGCAGCTCCTGGTGCTAAGGGGGAGGTTTCCTCATGTCCTGGAAAGAAAGGACAGAGGTGGGGGAAAGTCGGGGCCTCCCCCCACCCCTCCAGCCTCCCCGATCCCTGTCTTGGGGGGAAGGTCTCAGGGAGACCATCCCTCTCTGTGTCCACTGGCTGAGCTGTGACACAGCTTGTCTCTGTTTTCCCTGCAGTCCTGGGGGTCTCTGCTCTAGCTGCCTGCTGACTCCCTGTGGTGCCAGGTAGGGAGTGGGGAGCTGCACAGGGAACCTGACAGTAGGGTGCTCTGCGATGGGGGGTGGGGACAGATTGGCCACATGGGAAGGTACCAGAGGGCCTGATGGAATTCGGGATGAATTCAGCAGCCAGATCTCCTCTGTCCTCATGTCGCCCCCTGGAGGGCAAGACGAGACCTGTGGTCAATGTTAGGGCTGCCACCAGGAAGGGGACAGGGGACCAGAGGACTCCTGGCCAGTGTGGGAATGTCACTCTGGGGATGCTCTGTCTCAGGAGAAGCCTCTGAGCCAGGTTTCAGAGGATGGGCTGGTGAGGGGTCCCTTGAGCTTACTTGGGATGGCGCGTCTGCCTGAGCCTGAGCCTGGGAATGCCCTGTGTTTCCATCACAGCATGGGGGTGTCACATCCTTGTCATCTGTGTCTTGTCATTTGTTCTAGGTGTTCCTGAAGGCCTAGGGCTGGAGCAGCCCCATATGGAGACCCAGCCAGGGGATCCTGTGGGTTCCTCTGTTAGAGGAGGGGAGGCCCCCACAGGACCCTCATACCCTCTGAGGTGGATGCAAATGTGGACGGACCCTGAGTTCTGCCCCATCCACAGGAGAAGTTCTCCTTGATTCCCCAGGACTATTTCTCAGTCTTTATCTCTCCATATCTCTCTATCTCTTTCCCTCCTTGTCTCTGTGTCTCTATCTCTGTTGCTCTATTTTGTGTGACTTCATCTCTGTCTCTCTGCGGCTGTCTCTGTATCTCTGTGTACTTGTGTTTCTGTCTCCTCTTTGAATCTCTTCCAGTCCTGTATATGTCTGTCTTTCTATCTCTTTCTGCATGTCTTGGAGCAAGACAAGAACGAGGAAGTGAGGTGTCTAAGATACAACATCTACAGAGACGCTTGCTCACTCTGGGGTCCATGCAAGTGGTCCCTCACTTGAGCACCAGGATCTCTGCTCACCTCCAGTGCTGGTCCTGTGTGTCTCTATGACTCATCTGTCTCCATCTCTTCATCTTTCCCGCCGCCTCTCTCTTAGCATCTTCGTCCCCTTCCTTTTCTGGTTACTTGAAAGAGATGTGGATGAGAGACCTGTGGGGAGGTTAATAACTGCAGCATTTACCTTGATTTATTTTGCTCTGTTCCTTCCAGACATATCTGGCTATTTCTGACCCTTTCATATGTTCCCCACCATAAGGCACCAGGGGGTGCCTTAGACTTGTGCCAGGCTTTCCTGGGACCACAGTGGTCCTGCTTTGGGCCAACCCTGTTTGGCTGGGCATCTACCCATGAGGGGTTGGGAGCTTAATTTATAAAATTATAGTCTCTATCTTTCTCTTCTCTTTACTGTGTACTAATTATATTAAAGATCCTTTCCATTAAAGGTCTGATGCACTAAAGTTTGTTTTGTCTTGATGTGGCAGATGGCAGACCCTATTTAGAGCAGGCAGGTTTGGGTGTTCTGCCCCTCACCCTGCCCTGTAACAGAATGGGGCTGGAAGTCAATGTCTGGAGAACAGAGGTTGACCTTTGACACTACAAATCTTGCCTTCTTTCTGTCTTTCTACTTGCTTTTTCTCCTTCTCTGTTCTGTAGAGAAGTTCTCTTGCTCCTGATTTTCACTTCTCTCTCCCTCTTTCTCCCCACTGTGTCCCCCTTGCTCATTTTTTCTTAATCACTTTCATGCCCTTATATTTGCAAGTCATGCTTGCAGAATTCAAGTGACTTTCTAAGCAGTTCTTTGTTGACCAAAATTGCCTTTAGACCCAGCATGAATAATGTAGAAATTAAATAAGCTTCAGCTGGTTCAAATGTCTGCAAGTAAATTAGCAAAGTCTAAATTACAATGCTTTTTGCTTCTGGAATAGCCCACAGTTGATTTTTTTGTTTGTTTTTGGGAAGAATCGTTTACTTGCAATAGATTCTTTAAAACTCGTAACTTGATTTCACAAATGCCATTTCCCGTAAGAGGAAATCACAGTTGGCCAATCTCATGCTGACTCTGGAGAAGTAAGATCATGTGTCAATAAACGCAAATGTGCTTGGTTTGTTTGTTTGTTTGTAGAAAATTTATGAGATCAGAAATTGGAAGTGGGGATAGAAATTGGAGACTAAGAGTAGAAAATATAGGAAAGAGGCATCATAAATCCAGAAGCTGCAGAGGAGAGTAGAAATGGTTAAGGTATTTTTAAAAGTATCCAGAGGTGGGCCTCCCTGGTGGTGCAGGGATTAAAGATACAGCTCTGCCAGCTGTTGCCTGCTCTGACCCACAGGGTGCAGCAGACCTCTCCTTGTCTCCCGCTGCTCCCCTCCACAGTGGGTTTCAGTAGATCAGCCTGTCCTGCTCCCCACTGTCTCTGACAAACCACACCTTTGGCCTATACCTCAGTTGTTTTATGTTTAAATAAATCAGTCTTTAAAAAAGTATCCAGGCCCTCCCTGGTGGCACAGCGGGTTAAATCACAGCACTAAGAAGCTAAAGCCACTTCAGCATGAGTTCAATCCCTAACCCAGAGGTGATCCACCTGGCACAGCAGACCTCTCCTGACCCGCCCATTGCTCCCCTCAGCAGTGTACTTCATCAGTTGGCCTGTCCTGCTCCCCACTCTGTCTTTGGGGGAATCTTCTCACTGCCCCTGCACCTCTGGCCTGTACCCCAATCCTGTATGCATAAATAAATCAATATTAAAAAAAAAAAAGTATCCAGAAGTCTAGACCTGGAAGTAGGATTATGGACATTGGGGGCCATCATAAAAAAAAAAAATCACCAGACCTTTCAAATCTACTTAGTCAAACCTTAGGCCCCAAGCCTAGAAATAATTAATTTAACAACAGTTAAATTTCCACAAAGGAATGAACCCCTCTCAAAAAAAAGAAGGCAACATCCTTGCAATTTCTACGCTGACAGGAGGTAACTCTCCTGCCCGCTTTTTACCCTGTTCAAAGCAGCAGAGGCCACTCTCCTCCCAAGGTTGCCCTCCTGTGACCATGAAGGTGTCTTTTTTTTTAACAAATCTATCCCTTTACGCGAGAGGGCAACTCTTTCTGCCAGCTTGTGTCTGTGCAAGGCTCCCTAAATTCCCTCCCTGTTTGTAATATACCTGCTCTATTGAATGCAACTCAACACCTCTGCCTCTTGGAAAAACTTTCCTGGGGAAACTTACCATGTGCTACCGAAAGGGGAGCTCTGATGAAACTTTTCTCAGAGGTCATGTCATTTTTTGGAGTTAGTGCGGGGTCCTGGCGTTCATTCTGGGAAAGGTTTCGCCAGAACTCCTCTTTTAGTGGTGCTCAGCAAGTTTTCCAGACGAGTTTCTCCATGAGACAGAGACATTAGTTATAGTTAAAGAGTAGATTTATTAGGAAAAGAGTCAGAAAAGAGAAGGACACTTGCAAAGACACAGCGGGGAGGAAGAGCTGCCCCGAAGGGACAGGCTTGCTGACAGGCCTGCACGGTCGCAGGGGGCGGCCTTCGGAGAGCGGCCTCCGCTGAGGGGGTCAGTGCAGAGAAGCCCCGGCAGGTGCAGGTCACGGGCAGGCAGGAGGCTGCTGCCCTGCAGAGGGACAGAGTGGGTAGAAAGAAACACTTGCATAGGCACAGGGGGGCAGGACTGCCGTGCCGTGCCAGGGCAGAGACTGCCCTGATAGAGTCCTTTTCTCTCTGGGAGGGGTCACTGCTTTGTGGAGTAGCCTGTTTGCCACTGACTTTGGATGACTATGTAGACTCCTAAAGGGACCGAAGATTTCACAATGGGCCCAATCCCTGTATCTTTATTCTGTGATCTGTGCTTCCAGCATTCCCTCCAGTAGTCTGATACTGAGTCTGCTAACTGCTTGGGCCTTATGCCCTATGACAAGGTTCTGGAGCGTAAGGATCTTGATTTCTATGGCTGGGTTAATGGCCGTGTTAGTCCCTTCTGCCCCCACCTCCTTGTGTGAGTCAGGTTTTAAGCTTGTGACGCCTCCTTTAGATTTTCCATTCTTTCCTCCATCACCCACCATCACCCTTGTGTCCCTTCCCTCTGTCCCTCCCTCTAACCTCAGAGCCCTCAGGATATTTATTGAAGGCCACTAGTTCTGAACATTTTTCCTTTGTCTATTTGTCTACTATGTGAACATCCAATATTTGATTATATGTTCTGAAATACTTTGCTGCACATACTTCTCTCAGATTCCCCCCATGTTGTTGAAATGGTGGCATTTCACCCTTTCTGTGGCTATACACTACTCCATGGTGTGGATGTACTACATCCTGAGCCATTTATTCTTTGAAGGAGAGGTAGGCTGCTTCCAGGTCCTGGCTATTGTAAATGCTGCTATGAATATGGTAGAACCTATCCAGTGTTTTGCTGATGGTTTATATCAGTGGCTAGATACCAAACAGTGAGATTGTGAGGTTGACTGTACTACCAGATTGGAATTTTTCTTGTGGACTCAAATCAGCTCCTTGCAGTAACTTAAAAACATTCCCTTTCAGGTGGGTTGGTTTCAGGAGAACTTGATTTAATTACATGGGCCTACCTAATTGTTTTTAAAAGGGGTATTCTGTTTGACAGAAGGTATAGTCTTAGGTTAACCAAGTGCCTTTGGTCAGGGGAGATTGAAGGATTCAGTTTTGCCAGTTGAGTTTTTAAATTCCATTTGCTCTTTCAACCAATCCAGAGGATTTACTGTGGTAAGCACAATGAAAATGTAAAATCAGTCAGATTTTGCAAACATGTGATTTGGCCTATAAAATGAATGTTTCAGTCACTATGATGTTCTGAAAGGATTCCCCAAGAGGCACTAAACCTTTCAAGGAGTATTTTCCTTACTATATGCAAGTAAAGTTTAGATGACCAAGTTAAACCTTTGGCAGGTCTTATAGGGTCTGCAAAGCATTAGGAAATTCTTCAGTAAAGTCTTCAGTGATTTAGTAATTAGCAGCAACATCTGCAAAATGTTACTCTATTCTCTTTCGAATGTCCGGTGATCTTATTATTACCATAGACTTAAGTTATTGAAAGCGTCTAGAAGACCAAGGACCCTACAGCTGTTTTTTAATGCTTGGCCAGAGAAAGCTAAAAATACCCTTAATTTCTGAAACATGCCAAAACCAGAGCAACTCCAAAACCATATCTACTACCTGTGTAACAGTAGCAATCTGTCTTTCAGCCAAGTAACTGGCATGGGTTAAGACAATAAATCCCCCACTGTGTTTCCCCGAAGCAGCCTATTATTGTAATAGGTATGAAAATATGTCTTTCAGAAGTGTGGTTTATTCATGGATTACTGTACTTGAAAGTGTACCATCTCGGTTTCTCCATCCAGGGTTTGTGTCACCTTTTTTTTTTTTTTTTTGGTCTTTTTATTTTATTTATTACAAAGTATATTTTTACATC